TTTGCTGAATCAATTAAATTTGATAGTTTGTGTCCCCTTTTGTCATTTAGTTTGAGGAATCTTTTGCTTTTCATCTTAACTTTATTATTGATCAAATAATGAAGCAGCAGGTTGTTTAATTTCTATGACTTTGTGTAGAACAAAGTGTTTCTCTTAGAGTTGATTTCTAATTTTATTCCACTGTGATCTGAGAAGATACATGGTATAATTTCTATAATTTGAATTTGGTGAGACATGTTTTGTGGCCTAAGATATGATCAATCTTGGAGAATGTTCCATGTCTCGTCAGAATAATTTAAATTCAGTTGTATTTGGGTAAAATGTTCTATAAATATCTGTTAGGCCCATTTGTTATAGAGTCCTGTTTAAGTCCAATGTTTATTTTCTGCTTGGATGGTTTGTCCAGTTCTCTCAATGGGGTGTTGAAATTCCTGGCAGTTATGATTCTGGTGTTCATCTCTTTGCTAAGAACAAATGGAATTTGTTTTATGAATCTGGGTGCTCACGTCCTAGGTGTAGAAATAGTAAGGATTGCTATGTCTTCTTGTTGAATTTCCCCCTTTGCCACAATGACCATCTTTGTCTTTCTTTGCTGTTGTTTAGGTAAGGTTTATTTTATCTGATATGAGGATGGCTACACCTTCTTTCTTTTGGTTTCTACTTGCATGGAAAACTTTTTCCATTTCTTCACCTTTATTTTGTAGGAGTCCTTGTGGGTTAGATGTATTTCCTGTAGACAACAGATACTTGGCTTGTATTTTTTCATACATTCACCCAGCCCATATCTCTTGAGTGGGAAATTCAAACCATTTACATTGATTGATAGAATTGATATGTGGGATGCTGTTCTGTTCAACATGTTGGTTAGTACCTCATTGCTTTGTTTGCTTACCATTGCTTTTTTTCAGTTCTGGGATTTAGCTTTTAGATGGTTTTACCCTGGAGTGTGATCACCGTGCTGATCCACAATGGTCTTGATAAATTCCTTCAGTGTTTGCTTATCTGGAAAAGTCTTAATTTCTCCTTTTGCATGATACAAAATTCTAGGCTGGTAGTTGCTCTGTGTAAGATGAATCATGATGGGGTACCAATCCCTTCTGGCTTATAAGGTCTCAGTGGAGAAGACTGCAATTAGCCAGATGGGTTGTCCTTTGTAAATTACTTGACATTTTTGCCATTAGGCTCACAGGGGTTCCTCCTCCATCTTGATTTTGGCCAGTCTGATAACTCTTCTTGGTGATTGCCTCTTTGATGAATCTCCCAGGTGTTAATGATCTTCTTGTACCTAGATATCTAAATCTCTAGCAAGACCAGGGAAGTTTTCTTTGGTTAATTCCTCAAATACATTTTCCAGACCTTGTGCATTTTTTCACCCTCTCTGATGTCTATGATTCTTATGTATGGGTGATTTATATAATCCTACATTTCTTGTATGCTTTGTTCATTTCCCTTAATTCTGTGCTCACTGTTTTTGACTGCCTGATTTAATTCAAAAGAGTTGTCTTCAAGTTGTGAAATTTGTTCTGTCTGGTGTAGTCTATTCCTTAAAACTTTCCACTGTGTTTTGTATTTCCTTAAATAATTATTTTTGGTGGTAAAAACAAAAATTTACTTTCACCTCCCACTGTCATTGAAGTAGAAATCAATTATTTTTATGCATGTTCATTCCTATCACATTGCTCTAAATTTATAGCTACACTTATTCTTTTCTATTACTTTTTAAAATTTCAGATTAATGTGAAGGCCAACCAATTAGGTTACAATGCTCGCATTTGTTAGGTAAGGTCTTTCACCTCCCTTGCTCAGTGGTCTCCCTTCAGCATGTGTTAGTAGGAAGAATCTCAAACTAGCTGATCTCTCTCACTATTTGTAGAAGCCTTCGTGTGGTAGATGAACCAATAGAGGGGAAGAAGTCACTCCTAAGAGCCCCAGGTCGATCACCTCTCTAAGCCCCCATTGGGAAGGGAGAGGCAGGGAAAGAAAAGAGCCTTAATGGAGGACAGAACAATTGTCATCTCTCTCCCTCTGTCAGAAGACAACCCACTTGGAATGTTCAGGCTCTGAGGTCATGCAAGTCCCCTAGGACCTACTAGCCCTTGTGGCTCCTGTACTTTGGCTAGAGTTGGGAAACATTTATGTGGAAACAAGCAAGATGAAAAACTGAGGATCTGAAGCCTGCTGTGAATGATAAAGGCATATGGTGGCTGAAGAAGCAATAAAGTGCCTACTGTCTCAGCTTTCATCTGTGGTGACAGGAGGTAACCCCTAGAGGGCTGGTGGCCTGGTACGTTTTCCCTAAGAAGCTCCCAGTTCAAGTTTTTGAAAGCATTACATTGGTATTTTAAGGCAAATTGTGTTGAATCTGTAGATTGCTTTAGGTAGTATAGACATTTTAACAACGTTGTTTCTTCCCAACCATGAGCATGGTATGTTCTATTTGTTAATGTCTTTTGCTATTTCTCTTCTTCATATAATGTCTTCATATAAAGTATATAATGTCTTCATATAAAGCTATGCAATGTCTTCATAGTTCTCTCTGTGGAGAGCCTTCTCATCCTTTGTTAAGTACATCCCAAGGTAATTTCATTTTCTTTGAAGCTACTGCGAAGGGTATTATGTCTTTGATTTGATTCTCAGCGTGACTGTTGTTGATGTATATGAAGGCTATTAATTTGTGGACATTGATTTTATATACTGAGACATTACTGTATTTCTTGATCACTTCCAGGAGTCCTTTGGATTTTCTAACTATAAGATCATATCATCAGCAAAGAGTGAAAATTTGACCTCCTCTGTCCCCAGTTGGATACTTTTGATGTTATTCTCTTGCCTGATTGCATTGGCTAGAACTTCCAGCACTATGTAGAATAGTAGTGGTGATGGTGGACATCTTGTCTGGTTCCAGTTCAAAGTGGAAATGTTTTCAGTTTTTCTTTGTTTGGTATTATATTGGCTGTGGGTTTTTCATAGATTTTTTGTGTGGAATTGGAAAAAAAACCCTGAATGGCCAATGCAATTCTACAAAATAAAAACAAATCTGGAGGCATCACATTACCAAACTTCAGGTTATACTACAAGTCTACATGATGAAAAAAAACATGATATTGGCACAGAAATAGACATAGATATATAGAACTGAATAGAAAATCTAGAGATTAAACTAGCCTCATGTCACCATCTGATTTTCAATGAACCAAACAAAAACATACACTGAGGAAAATAGTTCCTATTTAAGGAATGGTTAGCTACATAGAAAAGACTGAAACTGGATCTACACTTCTCACCACTTACAAAAATTAAGTCATGATGGATAATAGATTTAAATCTAAGACATGAAACAATAAAAACTCCAGAAAAAAGTGTGGGAAAAACTCTTTGTGATATAGGCCTTAATAATCAACACATTGAATCCCAATGGCACAAATGTATTCATGATCTATGTACAAATTACTTAATAAAAAGAAGAAGACCCTCTTGGCAATTGTAGCAACTAAAAAAATAAATAAATGGGACTTAATCAGGTTAAAAAGATTTAAGGACACAATCAACAAAGCAAAGGGACCACTTTCAGAATGGGAGAAAATATTTGCATGCTACAAATCTGACCTAGGGCTAAGAACCAGAAATTATAAAAAACTTAAGCAAGTCAACAAGAAAAGAGCAAACAACCCCATCCATCAATCACTGGGCAAGAGACATGAACTGAATCTATATTCCCAAGAGAACAGACAAACACTTGAAAAAAATAGCATTATCAGAGAAATGCAAATCAAAACCATCTTGAGACATCACCTAACCCCAGTGAGAACTTCCCACATCACCAGGTTCCAAAGAGGCAGATGCGGCTGGGGGTGCAGAGACAGGGGAACACTTAAGCACTGTTGGTGGGATTGCAAACTAATAGAGCCCTTTTGGAAAGAAGTATAGAGAATCCCCAAAGAGCTAAAAGCAGACCTTCCATTTGATCCTGCAATGCCAGTATTGGGTATCTACCTATCATAAGGACACTTGCACTAGAATATGTATAGTAGCTCAATTCATAATTGCAATGATGTAGAAACAATCCAAGTGTCCATCAACTTATGAATGGATTAATAAACTGTGGTATATGTATACCAAGGAATAATATTCAGCCATAAGAAAGATGGAGACTTTGCATCTTTTGTATTTACTTGTGTGGATTTGGAGAACATTCTTCCAAGTAAAGTATCTCAAGAATAGAAAAGCAATCATTCCATATACTCAGTACTATATTGAAACTAGTAGATCTGTAACTACAGGCTCACATGAGAGAAAAGCATAATTAAATTCAATAAGATAGGGGACATGGAAAGGGGAGGGTTTGTGGTAAACTCCTACCATATGGCACAATTCCTGGGTGAAGGATTCAACTGCAACTTGGACTTTACCTTACAAATTCAAACAATGTAGCTTAATTGTATGTACCCTCATATTAATCTGGAAAAAAAAAGAATTAAAAAATTAGAAAAAGAAGAAGTTCCCTGTTCACTGGCAGTAGCAGCTTTTAAGTATGTGAAGGTAGAAGGGCTCTCCAACAGCTTGGGTCCTTGCTGACTGCCAGAGACATGAAGGAGGGACAAACAAACCACCACACTTACCCTTTTTGCTGGGCTCCAAGCCTCTGAGGGGTTGATCTATGCTGATATCTTGCTCCTTTTTGTTATGCACTGCAACTTCTTCCCTTAGAACCTCTGGTAGGTTCTGGAACTTTTCTCTTAGAATTAAATCTGATCTATGTTTGGTTGTTTTTTCTTTTTCATCTAAAACTTTTCCTTGTTTCTGAGAAGATCTGGCAGGTGATGTCTCTGCCTATCACTTCCTTTTTTTCATTTTTTTATGGTTTTTGCTTGATTTTGTCAATATGAATATATAACTTTTACATAATTACAGTAATGTTACAGTCATGTCATAGCTCAATGATAGAGACTGAGAATTTCAAGATGTAAAAATAAAGAGACATCAACATGTATTATACTTACCTTTTGCAAAACTTTCCATACTTTTTGATAAAATCCAACTGGGACTCTATTTAGTGCTCCATCCAGCCTTCTTCGGCGTTGCCATTGACCTTGACGACTATCTTTAGATGACTGATGATCGTGTGTACTAGAAAAGGACCCACTACTTGGAGTCACAGAAGTTCCAGGTGACTTGCGAGAAGAGGAAAGGGAAGAACATAAATCAAAAGTTTCCTCTATTTTGGTGATAAAGTATTATAGCACAGTAAACAATAAACATAGTTTTCAGAATTATAAAGCACATATTAGATGAAGCAGCCAAGATAACAAGGTTACAGTGAAGGTAACAGTATTATATATAACCAGTAGCTCTGTAAACTGGTAAAACCTTTTTAGAACATAATCTGGTGATACATATGAAGAGCCATAAAAATATTGATGACCTAGAACATTCATAGCTATGTCTTTACCTGGTTATCTCTATTAAATTTCTATTTGGTTTGTGGGTTAGTTTGTTGCTTTTATAGGGCATAACACTAGCCATAATAAATTTAAAAGAATTGAAACCATACAAAGTATTTTTAATTACACAAAGAAATTAAATTAGAAGACACATGAGAAAGAAATTTAGGAAACTTACAAATATGTAAAAACTGAACAATATACTCCTAAATACCAGTGCATTAAGGAAATTAAATCACAAGGAAAATTAGAAAATATTTTAAGATAAATGAAAACAAAAACATAACAGCGCCAAAACTTATGGGATGCAGCTAAAATAGGCCTTAAGGAGAAAATTTGTAAATTTTGTTGTAAATGCCTGTATTAAAAAGAATAAATAACCAAAACTGGCTCAGGATCCATAGCATAGTGGTTACGGTGCCAGCCACATACACCAAGGCTGGCAGTTTCGAACCCAGCTTGGGCCAGCTAAACAACAACAACAACTGCAACCAAAAAATAGCTGAGTGTTGTAGCAGGTGCCTGTAGTCCCAGCTACTTGGGAGGCTGAGGCAATAGAATTGCTTAAGCCCAAGAGTTGGAGGTTGCTGTGAGCTGTGACACCACAGCACTCTATTGAGGGTGATATAGTGAGACTCTGTCTCAAAAAAAATTAATAACCAAAACTTCCATCTTAAGACAAGAAAAAAAGAAGAGCAAATGAAATCAAAAGTGAGCAGAAGGGCAGAAATAGTAATAATTAGAGTGGAATGGAATAAAATAGAGAATAAGAAAAGAATAGAAAAAATCAATAAGAAAATATTCGCTCAGCTATTTGCAAAGTATATCAAGAATGGAAGAAAAAGTATCCAATGTACTCATCCCTACTATGAAACTAATTTATAGCTTTCATAGGAGAGCTATAACCCAATTATAGCCCAAGAATATGGGGGAAGGGGAGAAGGAGGGGAAGAGAGGGGGGAAGATGGGTGGAGGGAGGGTGATTGGTGGGATCACGCCTATGGTGCATCTTATAAGGGTACATGTGAATCTTTCTAAATGAAGAAGGCTATGTTAACCAGTTTGATGAAAATATTTCAAATTGTGTATAAAAATAGCACATTGTACCCCATGACAGTATTAATGTACACAGCTATGATTTAATTAAAAAAAGAAAAAAATCAATAAAACCAAAATTTCTTCTATTAAAATATCAACAAAAAGGACAAATCTTTAGCTAGACGGACCAAGAAGTAAAGAAAAAAAGACATTAATTATGAATTTGTAGAAATAAAAAGGATTATAAAAGGCCATAACATCAGCTGCCATATCCTAACAAAGTACATAACCTAGATGAAATAGACAAATTACTAGAAAGATACAAACCACCTAAACTCTAAATTTTCTCAAAAGGAAATAGAAAACCTGAAAAGACCTATAATAAATAAAGAGATGAAATTAGTAAGTACAACCATCCCCAGAAACAAAAGTCCATGGTTAATTCTATAAAACATTTAAGGAAAAATTAATACTAGTTCTTCACATTCTCTTCCAAAAAACAGAAGAAGAACACTTCCCAACTGATTCTATGGGGACAATATTATCCTCATAACAAAACCAGACAAAGATATCACAAGAAAACTACAATCTAATATATTTTATAAATACGGATGTAAAAATCCTCAACAAATTACTAGAAAATCAAATTTAACAATATGCTGAAAGGAATACACAACATGATGAAGTGGGATTTATTCCAGTAGTTAAAGGTTGTTTTAATACCTAAACATTAATGTAATACACATATCAATAGACTAAAGAATAAAAAGGAATAGATGCAAAAAAGTACTTAAAAAATTCAACACACTTTCATGATAAAAACACTCAACAAACTAGGAACAGAAGGGAACATCCTTGATTTAATAAAAGTTAGGTATTTTTCTATAAAAATCCACAGTCAACTTAGTCAAAGACAGATTCTTTTCCTCCCAAATCAGAACAAGATAAGGATGCCCACTCTAATCACTTCTGTGCAATATTGCACTGGAGGTTTTAGCCAGGGAAACTATTTTCTATTTCATTTCCTTCCAGTCGAATCTTTAATATTTCTGTCCTTCTGCTTGCTTTTGATTTCATTTACTCTTCTTTTTTTTATTGTCTTAAGATAGAAGTTTTGGTTATTAATTTGTGGTATTCTTTTTAATACAGGCATTTATAATATAAATTTTCTCCTTAAATAAAGGCATACAAATTGGAAAGGGAGAAGTAAAACTATCTTAGATGACATGATTTTGTATTCAGAATATACTTAAGGCATTCACTAAAAAAGCAACTACAACTGACAAATAAATTCAGTAAAGTTGCATGATATCTATAACAAAAATAAATTATATTTTACATGAGTAGACATTTCACCAAAGAAGATATGCAAATGGACAGTTGGTATATTAAAAAGATGGTCAATATCACTCATAATCATGGAAATTCAAATTAAACCATGAGATATTATTTCATATCTGTTAGGATGGTCATTATCAAACAAACAAAAGATAACTGTTGATGAAGATGTAAAGAAACTGGAATCCTTTTACATTGTTGGTAGAAATGTAAAATGGCACAGGTACTATGGAAAACAATATGGAGGTTCCTTAAAAATTTAAAAACAGTTTGGATGTAGTGGCCCACACCTATAATCCCAGCACTTTTGAGCTGGAGGATCGTTTGATACTAGGAGTTTGAGACTAGCAAGAGTCTATCTCTATAAAAATATAAAAATTAGTTAGGTATGGTGGCACATGCCTTTAGTATCAGCTACTTGGGAGGCTGAGGCAGGAGGATAACTTGAACTCAGGAACTTGAGGCTATAGTGAGCTATGATCATGCCACTGCATTCTGATGTAGGCAACAGTGAGAGACCCTGTCTCAAAAAAAAAAAAAAAAAAAAAAAGGAAAGGAATAGAACTACTATATGATCCGGCAATCTGTTAACTTATTCAAATGAATTGAAATAAAGATCTTATGGAGATATTTGCACTCACACGTTCAATGCAGCACTATTCACAATAGCCAAGATATGAAAATAACCTATACCTATGTCTATGTTTATCAACAGTTGAATTGTAAAAGGAAATGTGGCAAATACTTATAATGAATGTCTTAATATAAAAAGTATTGACAATGTGGATGAATCTGGAGGACATTATGCTAAATGAAATAAGCCAGTCACAGAACCAAACTCAGAGAAGCAAAGAAGAGAATGGTAGCTACCAGGGGCTGGGAACTTGCTATTCGATGGGTATAAAGTTTCAGTTATGCAGGATGAAAAAGTTCTAGAGATCTGCTGTACAACATCATGCCTATAGTTAATGATACTGTACTGTACACTTAAACACTTTTTGAAAGGGTAGATCTCATGTTAAATATTCTTATTATGATAACAAAATCAATTTTATTTCTAAACAGTAGTAATTAACAACCTGAAATTTTAAGAAAACAATACAATTTAAAATAGCATCAAAAGGAACAAAATATATAGGGACAAATCTAACAAAAGAAGCAGAAAACATATGCTCTGAAAACTATGAAATATGTGAAAAGAAATTAAAGACCTAAATCAATGAAAAGAAATCCCATTTTCATGGTTCAGAAGACTTAACATTGTTAACATAGCAATACTCCCCAAATTGAATGCAATTTCTATCAAAATCTCAGCTGGATTCTTTGTAGAAATTGGCAAGTTGATCCAAACCTTCATATGGAAATTCAAGGGACACAGGACAGCTAATACAATCTTACAAAAGATGACTAAAGTTGAAGACTCACATTTCCCATTTCAAAACTTACTACAAAGTTACAACAATCAAAACTGTCACATTGGTATAGGATAGACATGTAGATCAATGAAAGGGGACTGGGCGTTCAGAAATAAACAATTGTATGTATTTTGATCAATTAATTTTCAAAAAGGATGCTAAGAGAGTAATTAAAGATAGTCTTTTTAACAAATGGTGCTGGAACAATGGATATCCACATGCAGAAGAATAAAGTTGGACCATCTACCTTACATTGTACACAAAAATTAAGTCTAAATGCATAATTATGCAGAAAAGGGTTAATGCAGCAGGCCCGAACTGCTAACCTTGGAAAGACATATTTACAAGGCTGGCCCTTGACAGCCATATGGAAACTTGGATTTCGGAAGGATTCCCAGCATTCTCAGAACTGATAACAGTACATTACTGTACCCGAACCATTTGTACAAACACTATGGTTTAGGCTGAATACCTGCTTTCTTTCTGGGAGTCTGGAGTTTTGATACATACCAGACAGAGGCTGTGCATGTGATGAGTCCTCAGTAAAAATCCTAGGTGCTGAATCTTTTTTTTTATATTTTATTTTATTTTTTTTTATTAAATAATAACATTGTACATTAATACTATCATGGGGTACAGTGTACTGTTTCTCTATACAATTTGAAGTACTTTTATCCAACTGGTTAACATAGCCTTCATGTCTTTTTCTTAGTTAT